GGAGGAGGGCACTTGTGGGGATGAGCACTGGGTGGTATATGGAAACCAACTTGACAATAAACTATTTGAAAAAAAGAAGAAAAGAATTTATGAGTGTTGTGGTCTGATGGACTTCATTTTCTGTATGGGTCTCTACTGTAAGGAGGAGCAAGGGACAAGGTAGCTAAGTAGGTCTATAGGAAAAAAAACAAAGTTAGGACTCTTGTGATTGCAAATATAGATTCAAACTGGTTTACACAAAAAAGAAAGTTAATCATAAGGATATGTCTGTGTGTGCAGTTAGATTCTGAGTGGCCTTAAATGTGGGGCTCTATTCTGTCATAGTAATAATTCACTGGGGTCTTTAAGTAATAATTGTGTTGAAACAAGAGTTTTTTTTTAAATTGAAAGATAAATCTGACTGAAGATGATTAATACTGAAATAATTGAGGCTAAGCAATCTCTTACATTGGCTGTTAATAACTGATCCTCTTCATAATTGGACGCTGAATCAAAATTTAAGATTCTATGTAATCACCTCTATGATGTAGGTTACCCAATGGCTCTCTGCTTCTTTTCTTCTAAGTAGGAGGATGGTAAAGAAGTTCCTTCCATTCTGTGTCAGTATAATTAGTCATCCCTATCTTCTGCTGGGCCTTGACATCTCCCCACCTACTACATTTAACAATAATTTTTGTATCTCTTTGTCTCTTAACATGATGTATTAGAGCTCCGTGTGCACATTAGTGATTTCTGTAACTAAATTCATGTCTAGGGGTGCCTGAGTGGCACAGGCAGTTAAGCGTCCGACTCTTAGTTGGTGAGTTCAAGCCCCTATCAGGCTCTGTGCTGATGGTGTGGAGCCTGCTTGGGATTCTCTCTCACTCCCTCTCTCTCTCTGTCCCTACGCTGCTTGTGTGCACTCTCTCTCTGTCTCTCATTCAAAATAAATAAATAAACTTACACAAATTAAAAAAAAAATAAAATTCATGTGTATTTACAAGTTAGTATGTATTTTTAAAGAACTTAAAAGGAATTGTTTGGTAAAGCTAGAACAGTCTTAGTATGCAACATCCCCTGGGGGTCAGAAGCATGGCAAAGGTAAAGTAATTTCCAGATGCACTAGAGCTTAGGGGGTTCCCACAGCTCTTGACAGGTGACTAGGTATATTAAAAGAACTTTAGGTTCTGAAGGCAAACAGAACATGTACATGAGTTCAGGGTCTTATTAGCTGTATGACCTTGGGCACAGTAAGTAAACTTTTAGATTCTTAATTTCCTTTTCTCTAAAATGGAATTGTAAAGATTAGAAAAATGCTTGTATGCAAAAACTTTCTGTTCCAGTTAATCTGATCTTCTTTTAGCTTCTTGCACTCTGTCACTCAGGAAATATTTCCTAAGCTCTTTTGTATGTACAGGAAACACACATCTATCAGACCGCATTCATTCCTCTTTTTAAATTTCAACTCAGACCTTGTAAGTTTTCCAATTAACCTTATCCATTCTTCAGTGTGTTAGCAGACTTCCTGCAAATCTTCCTTCTTTTCATTTCCAGCTTTAGAACTCGCTGGGTCGGCTACAGCAGGACAGACGCCGTGGGGCCCGTGTGTCCTATTGAAGTGACAGGGCTGCCAGGAAGGGTTTTTTTGGCCAGAAGAGCTCAGCGGGGACAGATCAGCAGAGCTAACCCTTAAAATTAGGCAGGTTGTCTCCACTGTGGCGACGCCTGGTCTGGAGGAGACAAGGGGCCAAGCTAGGGCCTCCATGTGGGGCTTCATCCATGTGGTGGAAAGACTACCTTTTAAAATTCCAACAAAGGCTCTGAATAGACCAGCAGCAGCCC